GAATTCCTTTTGGACAACTGACAATGTTTATTCATTCCTATTGATAATCAAAGAAGACTAGGTTTAAAGAAAAAAAAAACGTTTTAACAGTGCAGCGAAAAATCCTCTTATCTTTCGTAGCGACATGATTTGATTGAAACTAGTTACTTTTCCAGTGTACTATTTTTTTTTATCTTTCTGTAATTTTCTTAAAGTTATTTTATCTTTTAAATGTTTTATCCTCTATTCTTCCATTTTGTATCGATTTGCTTTTCGTTTTTGCTTCAATTTTTTTTTTTTTTTACTTTCGAATAAAGATGGAAGCGTTTTCCCAAATCCTGTAAGACTTCAACTCCCAAACTATCCTTATCTCTAAATTTCACCAATAAATCAATTAACAAAATGAATGTATTCCACTTTTTTCTTTCGCTATCAGAAATTTCGTTATCAGAGGTAAAACACATTCTTTGCAGGTAGGTTCTTTCAATTACAGAAAGAATCTACATAAATACTTATTTAAAATGCGATACGCTTATATATGTTGAAAGAACGTTCAGTCAAAAGATATACACGCTTAAGTTGAATTTATGCAAAAACGAAAAGTAAAAGAAATTATCTTCCATCTTTTTTCTGATCTTGGCATCGAATGTCATTGCTTTATTCTGGCATAATGAGATGATGAAAATAATTAATTATTCTTTAAAGTACTCTATTTTGGCCATATCTTTCTGTTCTCAGTTTAAACCAGTGTTTCTCAACCTTTTTAAGCAACGTCACACCTAGGAGCAAATGAAAATATCAGGCAACACTTAGGAAAAATTTTAAATGTTATGAAATAAAACCATAGATTTAAAAAAAGAAAATACGAATATGAACTTACTTTATTTTAATGTTTCTATTCAACTATTTTTACAGCTTATTTAGTGTGAAAATTGTGCCTGTTGTTGTTTTTTTTTTTTTTTTTTTTTCGGCATTTCTTCAATGTTTGGTCGAATGTCCGATAAGCAGACCCCCATTTCTTCAGCAGTTAAGCGTAGTCTTTCGCTTCTTATTTTACACACACACACACACACACACACACACACACACACACACACATATATATATATATATATATATATATATATATATATATATATATATATAGTTTATGCAAAACTAGTTAATCCGTATGGGTAGACCCAAGGAGGATGATATCCGGAGAGCTCAATGTAAATTCAGAGCAAATATGTTTGAATAAAAACAGGTCACTTTAAGGTTCCATGTAATAAATTATTTCACCACAACTCTTTTACGGGGCTCTGGATCATCAGACTTTACTTCCAAAAGTTGAAATGAAAAATGAAAAGAAACTTATACATTTTTGACGGACCGCACCAAGCATATGTAAAATTTAACGAAGTGAGGAAGTGAGGTGGGAGAGAAGATATGAGTGAGTTAGATGTACCATTTTCAATTCCTTATCCTTAACCCCACTCTGTGTAGGCTAGACGCCGCTTAACTTAACGTATGCTAATGTAAGGGGTGAGGGAGAAGACCTACTTAAAGGTGGAAGATACAGTTAACAATAAAATAATAAATCATGTCCTTGAGAGCAGGATTCACTCAAATTCTTAGACGCTGTTATTTTGCATTACTTTAAAGGGGTATATTTGGGGGTTAAAGTTTGATATAAATCTAAATGTCTACAAAATCTACGAAGAATTTAATTTGAAGGTTGTTGGAGTTTTGGGTATCTTCTATGAAAAAGTCGATTGGAAAAAAATTCATAGAAATTACATTGAAAGAATAATCCATTTTATATCTAGTCATACTTTTTATTTTCCTAAAGTTTTTTCTTATAGCTTGTTAAGTTGAAATCTATTCGTTTGATTCTTGTTCATAAATTAAATTCGTGACTGTTTTTAGATACCTAATTATCAAGGTTTATTCCAATTCAAATAATTTTATCATCAATAATATATATATATATATAAATATAAATGTAAATATATATATATATATATATATATATATATATATATATATATATATATATATATATATATATATATATATATATATATATATTATTCGATTATTGTCCTCATCTTTGTTGCCATATTCTCAATCACCGTGCCGCAGTACAACGAACCAAATAAAGGGTCCAGTTCGACATTACAACCACCTGAAGAAGGCCGGGGCGCACAACGGCCGAAACGTTGTGACAAATATGGCAACAACGATGAGGACAATAGTCCGAATAATGTAAATAGTGTACATAATACCTCATCTCAGAAATATAGACAGATGCACACACAACTCTCTCTCTCTCTTTCTCTCTCTCTCTTTCTCTCTCTCTCTCTCTCTCTATGCCGTGATAATATTTCGCGGCACACTTAAGAGGATCGCGCGGCACACTACTTTACTGCGGCACTGTGATTGAGAATTACTGGTTTTAAACTGATGCCGTTTTTTTTCCTGTATATCTAAATTATAATTATAAACTAAAATTTTCGAAAGATAAAATTTCACCCAAATATATTTGAACATTTGCTCACGGCCATATCACGTTGAAACACTGGTTCTCGTTCGATCACAAAAATTAGGCAACGTCGACCCTGGGTGACAGCATGAGAATGCCAGGTGTTGTGCTGCTGTAAACTTGAATGTGTTCGTGGTGTAATGGATAACAACTCGCAATTATAAATCGGAGAGGAGAGTTGTTGTTGGATTCGTTGTATTCACTTACACCTAAATACCCCGGCACAAGGTATGAATCCACACCCACCTTATGAGCTAATTAGTAGGTCTTCTATCAATCAATCATTATCTCCAAACAATTTTTTTAAATATTTCTGGCTTTAAATAACCTGCAAATGGTTGGCAAACCGTAAACAAAAAAACAAATCAATCAATCTAGTACTTTATTTTGCCTTTAGAGACACCTCAATTCTTCTTGGCATAGAATTGACAATATTCTGGAAGCAGTCTTTCGAAACATTGGTCCTTGCTTTTATTATAGAATCCAGTCATTTTAGATTTGCTGGCTGTACATCCAGGATTCGAATCACCCTTTACACGGCATCACATAGGTATAGTATGTGATCCAGTGACTGGAGGATAATTTTAACACGGAAAACTCATAAACCAATCTATCACTATTTTTATTTGTGACACGGTGCATTGTCCTGCTGGAAGTGACCACGAAAGGATGGGTAAAAGGTATTTCTAAATTTAGGTACCTGGTCAGCCACAGTACCTGGGTGGGATGAGGCATTTAAACGATCTTTTATTGATACCAATAGTCTTGATGTACATCATGAAAGTATATTTCCCATTACATCACCTGTAACAGTCGGAACCTTTGATAGAAAGCAGGATGAATCCATTCTTTAATGTTGCTAACGCTAATTTCTGACTCTGCCATTTGCATGTCACAGCAGAAATCAAGATTCATCAGATTAGCCAATCAAATCTTTTGTTGTTCAATTTTTATGATCCTTAGTGAATTATAGCCTCAGTTTCTTGTTCTTATTTGACAGTCGTATTGTCGTTCATCTTCAAGGTTTGACGTTTCATGCGTTCACAGATGCTCTTCTATATACCTCTATTGCAAAGTAGGGTTACATGAGCTAATTTCTTGCCTTTCTAGCAGTTTGACCCAGTCTGGTAATTCTCCTTCGATCGTTTTCATCAACAATGGATTACCACTCACTGTTTTCTTCTTCTTTCTCTGTAAACCTTAGAAATGATTGTGCATGAAATCTCCGAGTAGATTTTTTTTAAATACTGAGAACTGCCAGTCAGCAACAAGTAAGCCCTGTTTAAATTTACTTAAATTATCTCTCTTTTTTTTCATACTCTCATGAAATGTAATTCAGTAGGTTGTCATGAACGTATTTAAATGCCTATAGATTGCTGCCATATAATTAATAGGCTGATTCAAAATGTTCATAAAACAGTGTGTCAGGAGTGGAATGAATAAAATCAGTTATAGGCTCCGAGTAGCACTTCCAGTAGCGTTGAAAACATTCAAAATATAATACAAATTATTAATCAACCACTGACAGCGTTTTCCTCGCATTTTCAAGGGACATTTTGTGAGTTATAAATACAGGCCATAAAGCAAAATAAACAGATTTATTAATCTACTGAAACATTTCTCTGAAGTAGATTCAATGTGTGTCTTGTCTATGTACTTTCATTTTCGGGGATTTTATTAAACACACCTCAATGTGTGTTTTGTCTTCGATTTAATTAACCCCCAACTTTGTATGGTTAAACACACCTCAATGTATGTCTTTGTACCTTTCCATCTTCAGAGGTTTATTTAAACATACCTAAATGTGTGTACATAACTTTTCCCCTTTCTTCTTGTTCATTTTAAATTCACTTGTTTAAACGTTTTACTTAATCATTGTGTTGTATATTGGGTTAAGATTGCTTTTTTCCGGACAGCACCCGGAATAATTAATAATCGCTGTCATTATCTTATATGAGTTAACCACAATAACTAAACAATTTCTGTGTCCCATAAGTCAACTATCTATAACCTGGTTCTGAGAAAGTCACTACCCCCGACAAGCGCGTCCCCTTAATTAAGTGGCCAGTAAGTGTATATGACTTTTAACAGTTTGGGATTGGATTATGTGCCAGTTTTCATTATTTAGATCCATATTCGCTTATTTATATTTCATTTAGCGTCTCAGATTTTTGATGAGGATTAAAGAACAAGTGTGACGAACCTAAACTAGAATTAGAGCCCCGAATCCACCCACGTGTGAAGGAAATGTGTGCTTCATTGAATATCGGAATTTTCGGTTAAGGATAACTCCGAATTTGCAAAGTAGAAAAAAAATTTCATGAAAGAATTTCCGATTTGTAGATATTGAATATTGGATGTTCAATATAAAAAGATTTTTGACCTTTCCTAAGAGTAACACGACCTTTCGTATTAACTGTGACGTAATTGTGATAAAACCAATGACAGAGGCACACGTATGACCTTGATCACGTCACACATAGAGATAAAGGCAACGCTATTTGTGCTGTGATCTTCTTGTCGGCTGTGACAATCGGATTGAAAAACTTGAAAGGGCGAATAAGTCAGAAAGAAAACCGAAAAGATGAATGGAGAAGAAAACTTTGAAAAAGATTAAAACAAAGAAAGATTTGAAAACTTTAAAAAGATCAGAAAAAAAAAAAAAAAAACTAATGAAACGGGTATATGGAATAATGGAAATAAAAAACAAAAAAGAGAGAAAGAAAGAATGATGAATGTTAAGAAAAGGAAAGAAAAAGAAAAAATGAAATGTGAAGACGTGAATAAAGAACAAAAAAGAGAGAAAGAAAGAATGATGAATGTTAAGAAAAGGAAAGAAAAAGAAAAAAATGAAATGTGAAGACGTGAATAAAGAACAAAAAAGAGAGAAAGAAAGAATGATGAATGTTAAGAAAAGAAAAGAAAAAGAAAAAAATGAAATGTGAAGACGTGAATAAAAAAAATATGACGAAAAGGGATGACTAAGCGAAATAAATATAATAAAATATTAAAAAACAGAGAAGCGAATTCGAAAAAAAAATAAATAAATAAAACAGGGAAAAATGATAGATAAAGTTGAAGAAAATCCCGGTGAAAATAGTGGAAAATATTGAGGAAAATACAAAGGAAAGAAAAGGCGAAAAGAAAAAATAATGAAAGAAAGAAAACGAAAAGAAAGACAATAAAAAATATAGTGATTTTCTAAGCGTAGATTAAATGTGGCACAAGGCCGAAAACATGAAGCAATCGAACTCACTACTTAGTCGTAATTGTTCTCGCGAGACAAGATTGCTAACCATTACACAACATCAAGGTGCTGAGAAAAAAATCAAAAATAAGGGAAGAAAAAGAAAAATAATTTGAAATCGCTAACCTTGCATACATTATGAACTTCAATGTTTTCCTATTTAATCCAGCTTTCATTTTCCGTAATTTCAATTAAACGCGATCGACTCCAAAAATAAATACGTCATAAGATTTACGTAAATAATGATCCCAAAACTAAAAAAAATACAAATACTGGACATTATGCTATACTAAATAGAAACAGGAAATAGTTTCCTTTAATTGAAAAGGTGTAAAACTTCTCGATTTAATAACGAAAGGGAAAAATTGTATAGACTTAGGTTGCTATGACTTACGATAAGAATGAATCAGTCACATAACTTTTATTCCAATCTATATTTATATTTATCTTTCAAAGACTACGCAGACGCATTTTACAAGGTAAGGCACAAAAATCTATTTGAACTGCTAGGAAAACTTGCTTTGCTACGCGACAAATGATGATTTCTCCTATATAGGGGACGCAGATTCGATTCGATCCTTCCAACGAGCACATTTTCTTTATTAATATTTCTCTACTACGCAGACCGATAAGCGTAATCCATACTGTATAAGTAAACATAAAACTGGGGCTTCTATTTCAAATACGAAGTATCCATTATAATAACATTTGAAGTAATCAAAATGCCGGATTAAAAATAAATCCATTAATTCATTAGAAATATGTATGTATGTATACATGTATGTATGCTGTGCTAGCAAGAAAGTCACAAGTCATCGTGACCGAGGGTTTATGTGTGTTGATGTTGTTCAGATTGTTGATCATTCTAGATAACACGCTCTCTCCTAGAAATTGTAACTAAGTCCTGCTCAGCGTAGTATAAACCACATGTTGGCTTTGTGGATGTTAAACAAACACGAATGTGCCTGAGCGAGAGTCTGCAATAGGGATTGTAGCCTATAGTAGACAGGTATCCTCGAATACGAGTGACCAGCTATTATGTATATATATATATATATATATATATATATATATATATATATATATATATATATATGTGTGTGTGTGTGTGTGTGTGTGTGTGTGTGTGTGTGTGCATGGACGAGTGGTTAGAACCAGAGGTGGGGTGACAGTCAGCACATTTGTGCCGGGCCTCGAAAACCCGAGGGGCCTCGAGAAAATACCTTTCAGGGGTGTTTCTTTACAAAAAGTAGAGGGCAAAATTACGAATCAGTATTTTATTGAAAAAAAAAAAAAAAAACGAAAACTAAAACTAGTTCCAATGCGCGATGAATTCCTCAAAGTCTAATTCTCGTACCAAATTACAATCGATCGCAAGGTTTGCCAAGTTGGTAAGGCGGCCTGGAAGCATTGTTGTGCGTTGATAGTTCTTTATTCGTTTTAAGTGCTTAAAAGAGCGCTCTGCAGGTGCAGCTGCGACAGGAATGACGCAGAAGATTCGGGGGGAAATGTTCGAATCTTCTAACTTAGAACGTTCGTATCTTACGATGGTCGATTTGTCAGGACGGGGTTTCTTGATGGCATTGGCCTAGGGAGGCAATCTTAGCGTGTGGCACCTTTGGAAAATGCCTGTAAACCTTACCAAGCTTCGCCAGTGAAATTGGGTAGTCGGAATTCTTTGGAAACCTTCGATGGTTTTGCTAGCACGAAGTCATCAGTTATCGTGACCGAGAGTTTGACCTTGTTAAAAAAAAACTCTTGATCAGATCAGATTATGGTCTCTCTCTCTCTCTTTCTCTCTCTCTCTCTCTTTCTCTCTCTCTCTCTCCCACTCTCTCTCTCTCTCTTTCTTTCTCTCTCTGAGAAACTGTAACTAAGGTCTGCTCAGAATAGTTTTCAGTATAACCCACAGTTGCGCTCTGTGGGTGTTGAACAAACACAAATGTGCTTGAGTTAGCCGCTTTAGCAGACAGGTGTGCTCGGAAAATGAGTAATTAGTCATTATGTATGTATGTTCTAACTGTAAAGAAATATCTAATATGTTATCACTAAGAAATATTATATTAATATGAGCATTTAATACATTGTATTAGCTAAGTTACATACTGTGGCACGAGTAATTTTATTTTATTTATATTTTAACGTAAATTTTTTATGAAAGAATACGTATTTTCGAATTTGTTGGAAAAGCGTTTCTATTTGTAACGTTTATTTTGTTTTGTTTGTTTATTTTGTTTTGTTTGTTCAGTATAGACGATTTCTTTCCGTATTATTTATCATTCAAACAGTTTTAACAACAACGATAAAAATGGTCTTATATACATTTTTCTCATTTATTAATTGATTTCTATTTATTATTTAAACTGTCTGTAAAGTACTGAAAGATAATTTTGCTCGTGAAAAAACAGATATCAAATTCAAAATAATGCGAAATTCCACCATTGTGTATTTAATATGGACATTATGGATATGCACTGTAAATCAAGCCTGAATCTGAATTTATAAACTTCATTTCTTGATGAAACAAATATCATATTCATTCAAAGCAAATAAAACACACACATTTCAGCTTCAGATAGTTTTTGCAAAAATCTCAGACATACACACAAAAGACAAATCTTTATACAAAAAAAAAAAAAAAAAATGAAAAGAAAACAACAAAGAAAAATTTATTGGGACGAACAGTTCGGTGTTTATTTTCAGTGAAAAACAATCGAAGACAACCACGTGATCAATGTTTTTTTTCCCTTAAATAACCATGTTTTCGTCTGAAATACAACTTTTAAAGTTACGGTACTGATTTAAAATTTAAATTTTCAGACTGTTGCCAGAAAGATATTTACCGACTGGCCCTCGGGAGGTTTGTGACAAACAATCGATTCTAACGGAAACGATTTAATTTTGATTTGATTCGATTCAAACCTCAAATTTTATTAATACTGATTTATTTTTGTATTATTTAGGTTCGATACCGTCTTACATCGATCACTGAACGGAAAAGACTTATTTATTTTCGAATTTTACACTGAAATTAAACAACGACTTCAGTTTTTCACTTAAAACGCGGAAGTAAGTTTTTCACTGAAAACGACAAGATGGGCGTTGTGTTCCTCATTATTATTTTTTAAATCAATTCACCCGAAGCAAGGCGATAACGCCACTAAGATAGAAGGGACTACTGGGAGTGAAAGAGAAGGCAAATATTCTAGAAGGAACCGGAAACCCAATCCGAAACATGAAACAAGACATAAACCTCTACTTGTGTTCAAAAGAGCGGGGACTAGCAGGAACCGATCTTTTAAATAAGAGTATTTATTGCGGGGTGGGGGGGGGAGATTTAGACAGATTCTATATTTATGTGTGTAAGTCCAAATAAATGACAGGAAAAGTGTCACTAGATGAAGATGATTTAGAATATATATATATATATATATATATATATATATATATATATATATATATATATATATATATTTGTGATTCATACTCGCATAACTAGTATTTTTCCCACAAAATCCAATATACACACAGAGGAAACTCTTTAATGTATAGGGTGTTTCATTAAGTAGGATTATATATAAGGGTGTTTCATTAAGACGGATCAAAGTCAGCAGTAAATAAATCAGTGTTATTGGCGAAAATTTACTTATTTCTCTATTGAATCATATTATTTAAATCAAGGCAATTATCTGTGACAAAATAATATCGCCCAAATATCTGCCAAGTCTGAAAGAAAAAGAAAAGCGCTTAGACGCATAAAATTAATTCCCATTTAAAATCGGTCCAAGTTATTGGAACATATTTTATATATGTACTGTTCATCTTTTATTTTCCAGATATATCTAGAGGGAGTGGTGCTATTATGATACCTATTTAATCTGAATGATGTTGAATGGATTGAGTAGATATCATAATAGCACTACTTTCTCGATATATATCTGGAAAATAAAAGATGAACAGAACACCCAACCTAAAATAAGATGAAGCATATTAAGGTTGATTAAGAGCTATGCGGGGTGAAATAAGTTTTGTAAATTGTGACTGGACGAAAAGTTGGTGATCTTGATGTTCCGAATGGCTAAAAAAAACTTTTAATAGCTAATATGGAACACGGATGACACGGAAATCTCAGGAAAAAAGAAAAGAAAAAAGAAGCGAGTGCTCTATATTTAAGGCGTAAACTGCAAGCGCTACGCAAGAAAGATTGCCCCTTTTCTAAGGGTAAAATTTAAGTTGCCTCGGTTTTAATTTTATTTATCGTATGTCTTATAGACGCTACCTTGTAATGAGCACTTTTAATTTCCAACTTTGTTGTGTCGGAAGTTTACCAACTACGACAGCGGTTCGTTATATATATATATATATATATATATATATAGTTATTCTAAACTTCGCTTGGGAATGAAACTGCACTCTAAATTTTAAGTTTAATATTGAAATGAAACTTTAGGAGTTGGGTCAAGTTTCCAAACAGCAATTTATGTTTCATGATGGAATCATATATTTTTCAAAAAATAATATATATATATATATATATATATATATATATATATATATATATATATATATATATAGATAGATAGCGTGCGATGGCTAAATTGTCGCCATTTTATATTTTTCATTTCAGTCATGCGCGTTGTTTGGTTTTGATTTTGTCGATTGCACAATATAGTAGGGTAATAAATTAATGTTTATATTAGTTAAAAACAGAACTTCATGGAGAATCTAAATAATCATTTCTGTTTTGTAAAATAGGAACACTTATTACCGAAAATCAGCTGTGAATCATAAAACATGCAATAAAACTATGACATTATTTAATTAAAAATTACTTTATGAATAACATATATTATGGACATTATTGTCTTAAGAAAAAAATTTTCCATGGATAATGAAGTTTTATAGGAATTGTTTTCATTTTTTTTTAATTAGTGTCATTTATAAAATTTTAAATCTTTTAAATTACTGTATTGTGTATTTTTAGTTATTAGTAATATCATTTTGTATTGTGTGTTTTTGGTGATTAGTAAAAACTATATTTACTAATCATAAGTTATGAATGGAAAAACTTAGCACAATTCATCGAACATCAATATTTTGAAAAGAATTTCGACTTTTTTTTGTATGTGTATAAACG